TATCTAGAACATTTTCCGACTATCCGAAATATTTTCAGTTCATCTAGAACAACCTAAAACATTTTTAGAATATCTAGAATTCTTCTAGAATGTACAAGATTATCTAAAAGACTTTGGCTATCTAGAACATATTCAGTTTATCAAGAACATTTTAGAGACTATCTAGAATATTTAAAAAATATGTAGAACATTTTAAAACTATACAAAATATTTTCAGTTTATCTAGGGCAATCTAGAACATTTTCAGAATATCTAGAATTCTTCTAGATTATAAGAGATAATGTAAAAGAATTTAAGACTTTCTAGAACATTTTCAGACTAACCAAAATATTTTCAGTTCATCTAGAACAACCTAGAGCATTTTCAGAATATCTAGAACTCTTCTAGATTATAAAAGATAATCTAAAAAAAATTTAAGGCTATCTAGAACATATTCATTTCACCTAGAACATTTTAGAGACTATCTAAAATATTTAAAAAATATCTAGAACATTTTCAGAAAATCTAAAACTCTTCTAGATTATACAAGATAATCTAAAAGAATTTAAGATTATCTAGAACATATTCAGTTTACCTAGAACATTTTAGAGACTATCTAGAATATTTAAAAAATATCTAGAACATTTTCAGACCATCTAAAATATTTTCAGTTCATCTAGAGCAATCTAGAACATTTTCAGAATATCTAGAACTCTTTTAGATTATAAAAGATAAACTAAAATAATTTAAGATTACCCAGAACATATACTGTGCACCTAGAACATTTTAGAGACTATCTAGAATATTTAAAAAATATCTAGAACATTTTTAGACTATCCGAAATATTTTCAGTTCATCTAGAACAACCTAGAACATTTTCAGAATACCTAGAACTCTTTTAGATTATAAGAGATAATCTAAAATAATTTATGACTATCTAGAACATATTCAGTTCATCCAGAACATTTTCAGACTATCTAGAATATTTTCAGTTCATCTAGAACCATCTTGAGCATTTTCAGAATATCTAGAAATCTTCTAGATTATAAAAGATAATCTAAAAGAATGTAAGACTCTCTAGAACATATTCAGTCACCTAGAACATTTTAGAGACTATCTAGAATATTTTTAATATCCAGAAGATTTACCACTATTTAGAATATTTTACACTATCTAGAACACTTGCAGACTTAAACCATATAAGAAAATATTTAATAACACCTAGAGAATTAAAGACTATCCGAACACTTTAAGACTATCCAAAATCATCGGTCTTTCCAGAACATTTTCAAAATATCTAGTATACTTAATAGTATCAAGAACACTTTAAGACTAAGTAGAACAAATTCAGTGTATCTAGAACATTTTCAGACTATCTAGAACATTTTCAGACTATCTAGAACATTTTCACACTATTCAGAACATTTTAAGACCATCTAGAACATTTTAAGACTATCCAGAACAACTATCTAGAACATTTTAACATTATTTAGAACATTATAAGTCTTCCCAGAACATTTTCAAAATATCTAGAATACTTAACACTATCTAGAACATGTTAAGACATTGTAAGACTATCCAGAACATTTTCAGACTATCAAAAACATCTAGAACATTTTAAGACTATCTAGTACATTTTCAGACTATCCCGAACATTTTAAGACTATCTAGAATATTATCAGTCTTTCCAGAACATTTTCAGAATATCTAGAATTCTTAACACTAGTATTCAAGACTGTCTAGAACATTTTCAGACAATTTTCGGTATATCTAAATCATTTTAAGTCTCTAGACTAGAATATTATCAAATTTTCCAGAACATTTTCAAAATATTTAGAATTCTTAACACTAATATTTAAGACAATCTAGAACATTTTCAGACTATCTAGCATATTTTAAGATTATTCAGAACCAATCTTTTAAGACAATTCAGAGCATTTTCCGACTACAACATTTTAAGACTATCTAGAACATCATCGCTCTTCCCAGAACATTTTCAAACTATCGAGAACATTTTTAGAATATCTAGAATATTAAACGCTATCTAGATTTTATAATATTAAAGCTATCTAGAATATTTTCAGATAATTCAGAACATTTCAGACAATCAATAACATTTTCAAGCTCTCTAGAATATTTCCAGTCTATCTAGAACATTTTAAGACCATCTAGAACATTTTCAGAATATCCAGAAAATGTTTATGCTATCCAGAATATTTTTAGTTAATCTCTTTCATTTAAGAGACTATCTAGGACATTTTAAGTCTATCTAGAGCATTTTAAAGATTTTCAGAACATTAGATTACTACAACAATTTCATACTTTCTAGAACATTTCTAGACTATCTGGATCGTTTTTATGCCCACTAATTGTATAAGTCAACCTTGTTGGAAGTCGCCTTAGAAGTTTCACTTCAAAAACAAAAAGCACTCAAATGACAAACATGAGACATTTAACGCAACCTGCAAATAACTTCAAGAAGTATAACTTCAAAAATTGGAAATTCGTTATTGACTTCAGGTGGAACATTAATTATAAAAATTGTAGTAACTGATGTAAAAATAAATTAGTAATTTATTTCCCTTCGGGGTTACCGGCTCTCCTACTATAGAGGCGCAGTCGGCACCGGCGTCACATGAGGGACGCTAGCAATATGGACGCCCAATAAAACAAGGATTATAATTCGCAAATTAATAGAAATTAAAAACGATCCTTATACTAATTACACTACAAAACTTTAACAATTAACAAAATAATTATTAAAAAATATTTTTTTGTTATCACTTTTATAATAAAATCAGTCGATACAGAAAAACGATTTTAAATGAGGGGTGTAGCCATAACAAAAAATGATGAATGACTCATTTGTAAATAATTGGATTTTTTGTAATGGTTATTACTTTTTAGATTTAATAAGATGTTTAACACATTTTTATATACGTGATAAAATAAATAATTAACAGAGGAATATTAAAAGTATACATGATATATAAATTGTTTAGTAAAAAATTGACCATTCGGTTTGAATGGCCAAAAAAGTGTGTTTGTAAGATAGATTAAAAGTGTTTAAGAAATCCGTGATCGGCGAGATGCTACCGAACTCTATTGAACACTTGCACTTTGTCGAAGGACCAGATATATTTAGTTATTGGCTATGTCAGACCGATTGAATAATAAAAATTTTGAAAAAAAAAATGAAAGCGGATGCCTCAAAAATTGAATTGCCATTTTTTGCACATTATACCCTGTATCTTCAAAATATTTTTTCTTTGAATCATTCTAATCGGTTGATCCGTGCGCCCGAAATCGTGTACGATAAATTGTATCCACACATACACGCACACACATATTTTTTCTAACAATAAGTTATGCCAAAAAGTTCAAAAACCCTTGAAACGTAAAGATATGCAAAAATCTTCATTTTCGATTTTTGGCGATTACTATAAATTATCCTACGGGAAGAATAATAACATTCTAGATCCTCCCCCCACGAAGTAACGCGGAAGTTTTAGTCGGTATTATACCCAGAAGGTATCGAGTCGGACATACCCAGACAGAAGACCTAGTCTGGGATGCTTAAAGGCATTTCCTTCACTATACAAAAAAGCAACATACGGGAAGAAGTGAATAATATGCATATGTCTTTATTGTGACTTATTATTTTGAGTAAAAACTAGTGGGGCGCGTGGCATCGTGTCTTAAGGCAAATTGCTGGAACTTCCCGTACCAAAAATTATTTTTTTTTAAAAAGAATATTATTATTAAAGATTAAACTATAAATATTTGACAAAAATTTACTTTTTTTTAAAAAAAAAGGCCTTTTGAAGAAAAGTTTATTTTGAAATATTTTGGAAATTCTAAACTTTTTTTCAAAGCAATCGTACTTTAATTAACTGCATAGAGACGAAATATCGAAGCGCCGCGTCGCCGTCTAACGGATAAACATTGGTACGGAACCCATAGGAATGTAAACAAAATTTATACTTATTGTTAAAATCTCTATAAAATATCTTATAATTTGATGTGCATATGTATAATGATCATTTTTGACCGCCAAATAGCATTTTTTTACTTTTTTTACTAGATCTCCGAAACCGCTAGACCTGCCTTTGAAAATTTGATCAGTTCTTCATCTTGTTAATACAAATAAAATGTTTTGGCGCTTCGGAATGGCTAGACCGACTTCATCAAAAACTAATCAGCACGTCTCCTTATCAATACGAATCGAATGTTTTTTGAATTATTTAAATCGGTTGATCGGTGTTCCCGAATTCCCGACGAAAATTTGTATCCGCACACACACACATACATCCATTTTTTCTAAGGTATGCCAAAATGTTCAGAAACCTTTGAAACGTAAAGATATATAAAAAATTTCATTTTCGATTTTTTTGCGATTACTATAACTTGCCCTACGGGAAGTTAATATTCATACAGATTTAATTATATAGTAAAAATGTATGTTTTCGTAAATACTTATGCAAAAACGATAGCAAAAAAATGCCGTTGTTCGACTCGACAAAGTGGTTTGACCTCAATACACTTTTTATGGGCAAAAACAAAACACTTGGACGCCTTTTTAAGACAAAAAACGTTTGAAAACAAGTATTGATAATTATTTTTAAACAATATGTACATTTGCACACTTAAAAATGTTTTTAAAACACAAACACTTATGACATTTTAATGATACCTTCACGCACTGATGCCGCGCAGTCCTTGCAGGCGTGGAAATAATTATTTTTTAAATAGAAAATTAATAAAATCCAAATAACCACATCTAATTCGAATTTAAACATTTATCATCACCATTATCGATTAAATTTTCTTAATATTTTCATTAATATTTTCCACATACGATATGCGAGCGAGACAGACATATACACAAAGCCCGTGGTGCGAGTGAGAGACATATATATACAAAGGCATGCATATGCATTACGACATTTCTAGGTTAGGCGTTAAGCAAAAAGGGCGGGAATTAACTCTATCATAATAAATATTAATTAATATTCACTCACCTCTTGCTGATAATAAATAATTATAAACAGCCGGAGCTGCTACGTCACAAGGGCACTTTCCTTTCCTGTTTTTGAAAGACGGGTCAGCTCCTCTCTCTACTAAGAATTTAACTAATTTTATTTGACCGTTTGTAGCTGCATCGTGTAAAGGGGTATCATCGTCTAAGCCTCGGGCATTTACGTTTGCACCAGCTTTCACTAAGGCTTGTGCTATCGAGAACCAACCATGGTTGCAGGCTTCGTGGAGAGGTGTCCACCCTAGAAAAAAGACACATGTAGACAGAAAAGAAAACTTTCAATAGTATTTGTAAATATTATGAGAAAGCTCTTTTGCTTAGTGCTCTACTTTGTCAAAACCTAAACCCTGTGTTGAGCGAGAGTGCATAACAATAATTAATTACTAGTCTTTTTATTACCTGCAAAATCTGCAACATTAGGATTAACACCTTGCTCCAATAATTTGTTAAGTTGTTCTAAGTCTCCTTTAATAGCAGCTACATGTAAAGCTGTCTCTCCACGTTCGTTTCGATCTCTTCCTCGAGACACTATTGGTGTATTATTTTGTACATTAACAGGTTGTGGTGTTTCTAACAGAAAATAAATGTTTAACACATCAAACAAACATAATATTTCTACAAAATACAAACGTAAACAAGTATTTATCTATTTTGTGTCTATTTACCTTCTTGACTTGTCATTTGCATCAATAAAGCTAATTGTTGTCTTTCAGACATGGGGGTAACTGGGGGATTCCTACTAAAATGCTGGGACCCCCCTAAAGAACCTCGGGGCCTGTTTGCAGGCATAACTTAAGCATAACAATCTAATTGAAATTAATTATTATAACCTAAAATATTCGTAATCAATGGAAAGGGATCGATTTGTTGTGATAAATTAAAGATTTTTATCAACTTAAGTAAAAGTTTGTTAAAATTATTGTAATTATAAAAACGGTGGAGATACAAAAATTAAAAATAACATAGAATAATAACAATTTATTACATTGGAATCAATTTTTTAAGTTTTTGCTTTAAGACACAACACAGAAAATTGTAACAGATCAAGTATCGAGAGAAGTTGGCAACGGTTGGAGAATTGTTGCGCGCCAAATTCAAATTGAGGAAAATATTAAAACGATATTAACTGTTACACATGGAAAGAACTAATTATTATATTGTCTGGGGCAAATTAGGTTCAAATTAATGAAAATATTGATAATAAATTAACATCTATGTATTATTATGTTTCTTTACCATATTTATAGTTAGGTTAACTAAAAACTTATAATTTAAAAACACTCAAAAAATTGTGAAACAAAATATTTCCTTCATCAAAATACCTTGTAATTTGTAAAAGAAAAAAACTTATATTGTAAAAATATTTAACAATAATAATAAAAATGATAATGATAATATTATTATTAATGATAATAATAATAATAACAATAATATAAGACACACTTATAAATTTGTTAAATTATCATAAAATAACATAAAATTTGTTAAATAAAATAATTATATTGTATAAGTATTGTAAAGCTTATTAAAATAATTATTAAATTTTTAAAAAATACTCGCGACAAACAAACTAGTTATATTTAAAAATAATTAAAATTAACTAAACATAAAGAAGTTTATAAAGAAGAAGTAATAAAATAGCTAATAATTGAATTATATTAAACCTATAAAATATTGACTTATAATAATAATATCATTATACCGACGGCTTATATCATTAAAAAAAAGTATTATTACAGTATGATTTAGTTGTATTTTATTTAGATAACACATTTAGTTTTTTTTTTAACTTCCCATAATAATTTGCATTTTTACGTTTCAAGGGTTTCTGACCTTTTGGCATGCCTTAAAAAAAATGGATGTATGTGTGTGTGTGTACGGATACAATTTTGCGTCGACGACTTCGAGAACACGTTCAACCGATTTAATTAATTCAAAAAACATTCGATTCTCCTACTGATAAGGAAACGTACCGATTAGTTTTTGGCAAAGGCAGGTCCAGCTGTTTCGAAGATAAGATTTTAAATTTTTGTTTATTTATATATGGTTCAAACAAATGTCATCGACAGTTGAAATTACCGATTTGTATGATTGGAAAATCATTCGGTTCGTACTCGATCGCGAGGCGTTTTTGCAAAAGGCAATTTTGCCGTTTCGGAAGTAAGGAGCGCAAAGGGTGTAAAAATAGTTATGCAGTTTTTGAGAGAACGGAACATCCGATTAGATTAATTCAAAAAACCTTTTGCTTGAGTAGACGGTGTGCAAAAAATGTATTTACAGAAAATTTCGTAATTTTGAGAATTAAAAAAAAATCCAAATTTAAAAAAAAAAAATTAAAGTTTTAAAAACTCAAATTATCTTATTACTAAATTTTGAAATATTTAAAAAAAATCGATTTCTTAGAAAAATTTGAGAATATTTCGAAATTTCAAAAAAAATCGAATATTTTAAAAAATTTCGTAATTCTCAAAAATTTTAGAAAATAAGTTTTTCTTAAAATCCAAATTTCTAAAAAAAATCAAAATTTTGAAAAAAATGCGAAATTATCAAAAAAATTCTAAATTATCAAAAAAATCAAATTAAAAAAACTAGACAAATTTCTTGTAAACGTACACATAATAAAGTTGTTTGTAGAATACCCTCGTCGCCCAATATAATAAGCACTTATAAATTTACAGTATGCATTTATAATAAATAATCTATTTGAAATTATTTAAAACAATTATTGATTATTCTCATTTCTCGAATGTTTCATTAAGGTACGGGAAGTTCCAGCAATTTGCCTTAAGGCACAATGCCATGTGCCCACTAGTTAATAATTTAGTTTTCGGTGCGGGAAGTTCCAGCAATATGCCTCATGCACGATGCCATGCACCACATGATGCAAACAAAATTATTAAGTCGAATTTTTTCCCAGGTGCACAATCCTTTCATTTGGTTTGCAATTAAAATAATTCACTTTATCAAACAATGACCCTAAATTACAAAATAAATGAAAATCTGAAATTTTTCTGATTGTCATATTAAATTCAATTTTTCTCCAAAAATGTCTAGTAGTAATTTTATTTTAGCCATATTTTTAACTTTTGCACTTTTCGCCCACATCATTGTCCAAGCACAATTCGTTAATGATAATTTAGATACTTTAATTGAAATACAACCCCTAGAATCCGATGAGGAGATCCCGCCAGAGGCCAAAGAAAAAATAAACCATGAAATGGAAAAACGCCAAATCCATGGAATGAAAATTATTTCACCCTTTGCCTTGGATGCAATTGAAAACGATAAACAAAATGATGATAAGAAAGAGTCGTTGTCCATTGGAAAGCAGAAAGATGAAGATAATTTATTATCGGAAGCTACTAAAGAGTTAAGGGCGTATATAGGGCTGACATTTGCTCCTGATGACAATGCGCATAGGAGAGAAGAACGAGGAGGCCTACGTGAGTAGAAAAATATTCATTTTTTAATACAATATAGAAAAATCAGCTTAAATTTATTTTTCAACTAATCAGTATCATTTCCAACTAATATCTTTCAAACAGTTTTTGATTTTTTAAAATCGATTCGGTAGTATGAGCTCAAATGTGGACGAGAAGTTTAACACTTTTTCCTGATTTTTTATTTTCCCGTAGGGTAAGTTATTGTAATGGGCCGAAAATCTAAATTGAAAATTTTTACATTTCTAGACGTTTTGAAGGTTTCTGAACATTTTGGCATACTTCAGAAAAAATGGACGTGTGTGTGTGTGTATGTATGGATACAAATTTCCAGTCACGTTTTCGGGCGTACGGATCAACCGATTTGAATGGTTCAAAAAACATTCGATTCCTATTGATAGGGAAAAGAGCTGATTAGTTTTTGGCAAAGGCAGGTCCAGCCGTTTCGGAAATACGAAGCAAAGAGTGCAGAAAATAGAAATCGACTTTTTGAGAGAACGGAGTATCCGATTTGAATGATCTAAAAAACATTCAATCAGTAATGATTGGGAGAAGCGTCTATTAGTTTTTGGCAAAGGCAGGCCCAGCCATTTCGAAGATACGGAGCTGAATATGTAAAAAATGGCAGTTTTTGAGAGAACTAAGCGTCCGATTTAAATGATTCAAAGAACTTTCTGCTTGTCTTAACAAAATAATAGATTTTGGAAAAAAAAATTCTTATAATTTTTTTTTTTTTTGTTTTTTTTTTTAGTTTTTCTTGTATATCGAAAATAATTAAGATTTTATTTTTATTCTGACTAAAGTTCTAATATAACTTAAACAAATAATTTTAAATTTGCAATTCAGTTTATATACTTCTTATAAATATTAGACAATATTACAATATTTATAATAATCTATTTGAAAATATTCAGTATTCCTCGAACATTTCGTTACGGTACGGGAAGTTCCAGCAATTTGCCTTAAGGCACGATGCCACCCACCCCACTAGTTTTTAACTTCCCGTAGGGTAAGTTATTGTAATGGGCCGAAAATCGGAATTGAAAATTTTTACATTTATCGACGTTTTGAAGGTTTCTAAACATTTTGGCATACCTCAGAAAAAATGGATGTGTGTGTGTGTGTATGTATGTATGTATGGATACAAATTTTCGCCCACGTTTTCGGGCGTACGGATCAACCGATTTGAATGGTTCAAAAAACATTCGATTCCTATCGATAGGGAAAAGAGCTGATTAGTTTTTGGCAAAGGCAGGTCCAGCCATTTCGGAAATATGAAGCAAAGAATGCAGAAAATAAAAATCGACTTTTTGAGAGAACGAAGTATCCGATTTGAATGATCTAAAAAACATTCAATTAGTAATGATGAATAATAGTTTTTGGCAAAGGCAGGTCCTGCCATTTCGAAGATACGGACCTAAATATGTAAAAAATGACAGTTTTTGAGAGAACTAAGCGTCCGATTTAAATGATTCAAAGAACTTTCTGCTTGTCTTAACAAAATAATTGATTTTGGAAAAAAAAATTTCAACTTTTTTTTTTAATTTTTTGTATATCGAAAATAATTCAGATTTTATTTTTATTCTGACTAAAGTTCTAATATACTTTAAACAAATAATTTCAACTTAGCAATTCAGTTTATATAATTCTTATAAATATTAGACAATGTTACAATATTTATAATAATCTATTTGAAAACATTCAGTATTCCTCAAACATTTCGTTACGGTACGGGAAGTTCCAGCAATTTGCCTTAAGGCACGATGCCATAATTGCCTCAAGACATAATTCCACTTACAGCTAGTTATTTTTTTAATATTACTATAACATACTGTAAGTGTGTACTCCGATCACTTAACAATAGTCTTTTATTCTTGCAGACAAGAAGCCGCATGATAGAAAAAAGTTAAAAGAACCCAAACCTTTAACTGGGCCTAAAATCTGGGACCAATGGGGCAAATGGACAGCCTGTTCCGTAACATGTGGAGTTGGCAAAATGACACGCTGGAGGCATTGTGTCCAAGGGGGATGTGCTTCGGGAGAAAAAGAAGCCCAGATCAAAACATGTACAGCCCCTGCATGTTAATAATTGGAAACAATAATATTTAAAGAAGTTAATATGTTGTGATTAATATCGTTTTAATTTTGATAATATTGGTTTTTATGTAACAAGTATAGATTTTGTTATTTTAATAAAATGATTTTTATATAAGGATTTAAATAAATCTAAAAAAATTATATTAACTATAAAAAAATCAATATATAACATATTATAATATATTTCATATAGATATATAAAAATAAATACCAAATACAGTTAATAAATCTATTTAACTGTGGCTTCAACAGCTTCTTCAGCATTCAATGTAAAATATTTATCAACATCAATAATATTCACAGCCCTATTTGTTGTTCTTGTCGGATTTATAGTAGATCTCACAGAATTTCCAAAAATCGGTTTAAGAAAAGATTTTATACTACTTCCAGGTATAT